GAGAGAGAGAGAGAGAGAGAGAGAGAGAGAGAGAGAGAGAGAGAATGAGAATGATGATTGGTGGTGAAGAAATGCAAACCCCGCTTTGCAATATGCCAGTGCACACAGTGTTCTTGTCTTTCTGGAAATGAGAGAAATGGGGGACATATTATTTTCGGTGAATCATGCCATCTAAGAAGACACAACCTGAAACGAGTGGCTGGATTTTAATGTGAACTGTTGGCTTGTTTGTTTGTTTGTTGGGGGCTTTTTGAAACTCATTCTTTTCAGCCAAGTAAGAAAGCCCAGCAGGCGAAGGGTATCTGTCTCATGATGGGGAAGTCTGGGGAAGGGGTGTTGCTTAACTTTGCTGGGGCAGTCACAAAACCTGAAACCCCTAGTAAAGAATGTCTGGGGGGAGAGGGCAGAAGCAGCGCCCCACCCATCTTTCTCACAACTACACAGGGTGGAGGGAGCCCTCTGTGGCTTCAAGTCCCTTGTAAATCTGTAAATACAAGGCATGCATATATATATATATATATATATATATATATATATATATATACCTTCCATAAAATATAAAATATTTTCTGCCTAAGAAGTCAGGTTGAGCTGTTCATAGACATGATTGTTGAACTTCCTTGTCTCTAGGGGAGGGTGTATCCACCTTTGAACCAGTTTTCACAGGCATGAATTCCTAACAATGTATTCTCCTGATATACCTTGCTGAGTTCTTACATTTGAGGTTTGGAAAGATTTTGTTTGTTTCATTTAACTGCTACTTTCAATATTTCAATATTGCTGGTTCCTGTGTTGTTGGGGAAGGGAAACAAGAATAATCCCCAAGAAATCATAAATTGCATTATTATAGATCTGTATCCAGAGTCGATCTCTCTCTTTGTGGTTGTAATAATTGCTATGTTTCTAGGGCCACTTTGGAGCCTAGATTTTACTGAACCAGTTTCTACAGAATATTTATGCCCCAAAAACTTTTCCAATATAAACTTTTTAATGAGAACTCACATTGCGTAGAGGTCACCGCAGTCTGTCTGTTGTGTCTGCTTTAGCCAGTACTGTGAGCGGCAGACGCTGCAGCCTGGGGATTCACTCCTGTGCAATGTTCTTCCACAGAAGCATGGTGCTGTGAGGTTTGGGTTAGTAGGGCGACTTCTCAGTATTTTGGAAAGAATGGTACAAGAGTAAATCCACATTAAAACACCAAGAAGCTGCTAGTTCCAGGATTGAAAGAGAGCATGTCTTTGTGGTTTAAATGTTGAATTTCCTGGATGGAGGGGGAGTGTAGGCTTTTTTATTAGCATACAAAGAATTAGATTTCATTATGGCATTTTTAAAACAAAATGTTTGCTGTGGTTTCTCTTTAGCCCACACCCACCCTTAGTCCCCTTTCCTCCCTGTGCCCTTCAACCCCAGTAGCATCCTTTCTGCTTTCATGTTACATGTGACCTTTTGACCTCTCCCCTCTTTCTCAACAGCTCTTGTTCCTCTTTTGTGGTCTCCTCCCTAGTTTCAGAGTCTGAACTCACTCTCTACACACACCCGTTTACAAACTTACAGACGACAGAAGTTAGTCAGCATATGAGAAAGAGCATGGTATTTGTGTGTATGAGAGAGAGAGTGTGTGTGTGTGCGCACGCGTGTGTGTGTGTGTGTGTGTGTGTGTGTGTGTGTGTGTAAGAGTTTGTGTGTGTTGTGGGGGGGGGTGTTTTGTCTTTCTGAGTCCAGGTCACCTTAATTTAATATACTCTGTGGATCCATCTATTTTCTTATAGATTTTATAATTTGATTTCTTTTATGGTTAAGTAAAATTCCAGTGGGTATATGTGCCATGTTTTCATTCTTCATTCTACTGTTGATGGACTCCTGGCTGGTTCCGTTTCCTTCTTGTTGTTAATGATGCAGCAACATGGATATATAGATGGATCTGTGGACCGATATAGAATCCTTTGGCTATCTATGCCTATAGTTGTATTAGTTGGTATGGAATGGAATGGTATTTCCATTCTAAGTCTTTTTAGATACCTCCATACTGGTTTCCATAATGGATATATCAGGTTTACACTCCCACCAACACTGAATAAGGGTTCCTTTCCCCACATCCTGCCAGCATTTATTGTCATTTATTTTCTTGTTCATAGCCATTCTGGCTAGAGTGGGACAGAATCCCAAGGTGGACTTAATTTCCATTTTCCAGGGGTAGGCTTCTAAAGGAATATTTTAAATAGTCAATGGCCATGATGGTGTAATTTGAACTTGAAATCAAGTGGCTTGGTATTTTCCCAAGGGGCTGTGAGGAGTCAGGATTGTGAATATTGCCATGACTTGTTTATTTCTAACTTGGGTCTGGTGGATCTGGTTAATGTGGTCTTCAGCAGAGTGTTCAAAGTCTTCTTCTTCCAGCAAGGAGAGCCATTAGTTTCTCAATCCGCCTACAGTGAACAGAGATTAACCAAGTGTCTGGATGTACAAGCACCACAGAGGAAACAAGGGAGGGACAGAGACTAGACTGGTGGAGTGTGTGTGTAGCTGAAGTCTGACGAGCAGATTGGGGCCTGTCGGGAAGCATCACATAACAATCTAAGAAACGGAAAGTTAAGGTCAGCTCTTCGTGACCACAGGGCGTTAGAAGTTTCTCTGTCTTCTTCATACCTCGTGGGTATGCAGAGGCTATCCAGCAGAAGAACAGCCCTGAATGCTCAGCACAACACCCAAGAGATTTCCTGGGTGAGCTTTGAGCAGGAATGGAGCTTTCTTGCCAGAAATAAGTGAGGTGAAGCTGAGAGCAGGGGAAAGGCAGTGCGAGAGAGCCTCTCTTGCACATGGGCTTCTCTGTAAAGCATTTCTCCCGTGATGGGCTCAGACCTGCCCATGTGGGGAACGTTGACTTAGGTGAAATTTAGGAGGTCATATGTCACTCCTCACTTTCAAGAGAGAGAGTCTCTACCTAGCTTCCTGCTCCTTCAGTGCCACAGCTATTGAGCATCTAGTCAGACTAGCCCCTCACCTCGGAGACCCATTCACCCCCATCTGAGCTGCTTTCCATCTATTGAGATACCTACTAATTTTGAGTTTGCAATCTCCATGCTGCTAACTCCAGTTGGCACTCAGCTTTTCGATGGACCACGTATGACCGACAGCTTTCTGTCCTGGGTAACTTCTCTCATCTTTTAGCTCCCATGCTCTTTCCAGCCGTTCCTACCTCTGTCTTACCTTGTAAATCTTACTTTATATCACTCAAAATACGTATTTCTCCTCTTGGTCTACACTTTCTCTGAGTAATTCCATCCACCCCAAATAGCAGCAGATGCTCTCTCTCTGGTATGCGGCCAGGTATATGTGTTTGTGTGCAGTTCTGCTTAACTGGTGGAAAGGTATCTCTGGCTTAAGATTTCTACTCTTAAGTCATTTTCTGTTTATTTCTTTTGGTGGTAGTGTTTAATCACTTGAGAAAGATTGTACTATGTAGTCCTACATGGTCTGGC